GTCTTGCACGGTTTAAATTTGGTTTTCCATATTTCTTATGGGGAAATTTTATTCGCATACCGATTATTTCGCATACAAATTGACCCTCTTGCAACGGATTAAATCGGTATGCGGGGCCCCACTGAAAATATAAAATAAAAAAGCCCCACTTATAGGCTTGGTTAGTTCCAGGCTACGCCGTAAAGTGGAACACCCTTTGTTTCCACTTACAAAGCAACAAACACTAGTAACAAGTTTTAACACAACATATATTAAGTTAGCAATAGAACCAGGCATCAAAAAACAAAAAAGGGACAATACACACATAGTGAAACTATTACTTACCTTAAAATATTTATAGTCTCAATCTAGGGTGAGACAAGTAGTATTTATTGTAAGAAATCAAGTGTGGTATGTATGGTAGTCAGCCAGGCTACCATACCAGGCCAACCCACCTACACATAATATTCTATTACATTTAAGCATCCCAGAGCGATAAAATGTATAACAGTTCACTCATTATTTTACCTTAAAATATTTGTAGTCTTAATGTAGGGTCAGGAGTAAGTAAATGAGATAAAACGAATAAATGAGAGAGAGGACAGGCGCAGAGTTATGTAAACAAACCAGGCGAAGGTAAGTTTTGTAAACAAGTGTAACACGTCTGGTTTGTGTACAAGTTTCCCATTGTGTACAGGTTGTCTCTACATTGATACGGTAAAAATAAATAAAGAAGAACACTCCCTTTCTCATGTAACATCATTTTGAGAAGAAATTTAAATGCTCTGAGTGAAGGCAATGGAAGTAAGTCACTCTGACTTTTTTGGGTTATCCTAGTTCTCTACACATATGTTGTTAGTATGATAATCTATGTGACTGTATTTGTGTATACCTGAATAAACTTCCCTTACATACATACGAAAGGAATAATTTTCTACAGTTACCCCCAGTACACCATTTTCTTTATGTTTAGATTAGAGAAAAAGTTATTCTTGGCATCACTTGTACAAGTTATACTGGCTCCTCATTCATATTTTGATTTTTTATTCTATTGATAGGGTGTTTGTATTTATCATCTTTTATGTTATGTATCGGTGTTTTTATATATAATATTTGAAAAAATATCATGGAATGGATATTAATGGAAAAATTGTGTATATTAACGTATTATACAACATTTTATGTGACTCGATGTGATTATTATTATCTTATCATTCTAATATGGGCGTCACTTGTGCAAGTTGTCTGCTATCCACATCTATAATATTTTATGTTTATTTATTCTATTGTGGGGTGTATTTATTTATCCATCTTTTTATGTTATGTATTCGTGTTTATTATTATAATTTTGAAAAAAATATCATAGATGGATTAATGAAAATGTGTATTTAAGTAATATACGATTTTTAATGAGACTCGATGATCATTATTATCTTTACTAATATGACGTCTGGAGACATAAGGACACTTCTTACTGATTTTTATGTGTAACCTGCATGCCATGCACAGTATGTAAGCCTTTATTTATAAGTTACAGGTTTTACATAAGCATAATTATCAGTGATATATAAAATATGAAATAACTTTTTTACATTTGAAATTTGGAGTTTCCAGACAAAATGGAGAGACTTAGTGCTTACTGAGCTCACGAAGAAATGTAAAAAACAGGGTGGGGGACGCGAGTGCCCGTATAGAAGTCAGGTGGGGGGGAGGCGTTTAGTTTTGCGAGGTTTTGGATCATAATTTGAAATGAATCCGTATTAGCGGAATGCCATAAAGTGAAACGCCGTAAAGCGGGGGACCTCATTATTATATTTTATATATTATTTTTTATTTATTTTTTTTATTATCACTCTGGCCTGTTCCCACCAAGGCAGGGTGGCCGACAAAAAAAAAGAGATCTTTCACCTTCATTTCTCTCCATTCAATGTCTTGCCAGAAGGGTGCCTTTACACTACAGTTTTTTAAAACTGCAACTTAACACCCCTCTCAAGAGTGGAGGCACTGTACTTCCATCTCCAGGACTCAAGTCCGGCCCCTGCCGGTTTCTGAAACCCCTTCATAAATGTTACTTTGCTTCCACACTCCAACTGCAGTCAAGTATTAAAAACCTTTTGTCTCCATTTCACCCTTTCAAACACGCGCACGCATGCTGTGGGATGACAAGCCCCGCACACAACATCCTTTACCCCCTCTCTCTCCAACCTTTCATAGGCCGACCCTACCCCGCTTCCTTCCACTGCAGAATGCTACACCTCTTGAAAGTTCACTCTGTTTCGCTCCATTCGCTCCTAATGTCCGAACCACCTCAACAACCCTTCCTCAGCCTCTGGACCTTCAGTTTTGGCAATCCCGCTCCTCCTCCTAAATTGCAAACTAGATTCTCTGCATTATCATTCACTCCTACACATTGCAGCAGACATGACATCTCCACTGCCTCCAGCCCTTATCTCGCCTGCAACATTCATCACCCATTGCTTCACACCCTTATAAGAGCGGTGCGTAAAATATACACTCTTAC